CTTCACAGTACCCTCCCCTGAGAGGGACCGGGCTGCCCGCCACCAATCCTCCTACCCTCCAAGCTGCTCAGGCCAGTTCTACCATGATTGACAGGACCTCATTTCCAAAAGAAAACTGAGAAACCACTCACATCTCCCCACTCTGTGACCTCACCTCACGGATCCCCTCCACAGTCCCATGAAGGAGGCTGGGCAGGTGTAACAGGGATGCAAAGAAAAGAGACTCAGCCGAGGCCAGCAGCCATTGGAAGCAGATCGATGCCCTGACTCACGGCCCAGCCCTTTCCATTGCACCCAGGAATTGGCCAACCTGCCCTGGAGAGGCCTCCTGATCCTGGTCCAGTACCTCTAGGTGACTTCTCCCGCCCCAGGAAGAGGCATCTGGATTCCTTCTGCCTTCAGAGACAAGGCTTATCCAGAAACCATGAGGCCCATAGCCTATAGCACAAGTCAAGCAAAGAGCAAGACAAAGGTTAAAAACCCCATTTTCAAAGTCTGCTTACTATTCTTGCCTGAAACTACGAATTTTTAATTCAATTCTGGCTTAATTTTAATTTAATTTTGCAGTGAACACCATTTGTTTTGATTTAGCACTTTTCATCAAACAGTGAAGGCCAGCTCCACCTCCTGCCCCTACAGGAGGGTAGCACGTCCTGGTAGGCCTGCAGCTGCCAGTCCTGGAGACGTGAGTTGCCTCCCTGTTCTCTCTCCTCTCTCTTTGCCTTCATGCCCCAACTTCCTGTGTTTCTTCTGGCGCTAACGCTAATACCTATTCTTAGAAATGTTGTGAAGATAGGCCCGGTGCAGTGGCTCATGCCTGTAATCCCAGCACTTTGGGAAACTGAGGTGGGCAGATCACCTGAGGTCAGGAGTTTGAGACCAGCCTGGCCAACATGGTGAAACTGTCTCTACTAAAAAGACAAAAATTAGCTGGGCGTGGTGGCGCACATCTGTAATCCCAGCTACTTGGGAGGCTGAGGCAGGAGAATTGTTTGAACCCGGGAGACAGAGGTTCCAATGAACAGAGACCTCCCCACTGCACTCCAGCCTGGGTGACACAGTGAGACTCTGTCTCAAAAAAAAAAAAAAATTTAAAAAAGGAATGTTATGGGCCAAGCATTGTGGCTCACGCCTGTAATCCCAGCATTTTGGGAGGCTGAGGCGGGCAAATCACGAGGTCAGGAGATTGATTGAGACCACCCTGGCTAACACGGTGAAAACCCATCTCCACTAAAAATACAAAAAATTAGCCAGGCATGGTGGCACGTCCCTGTAGTCCCAGCTACTTGGGAGGCTGAGGCAGGAGAATCTCTTGAACCCGGGAGGCCACGGTTGTGGTGAGCTGAGATGGCGCCACTATACTCCAGCCTGGGCGACAGAGCAAGACTCTGTCTCAAAAAAAAAAAAAAAAAAGAAGAATGTTATGAAGATAGAATTGCACCATCAAAATCGAATTAATATGATCCCAGGCATTTAGCCCTCAAGTGTTTATTTGCTGCCATTATTCTTTTTTTCCTTTCCTCTCCCTCTTTCTTTCATCTTCCCCGTTCTGTTGCTTGCTTCTTTCCCTTCTCTCCACAGATGACTTTGCTTCTTGCTCCTAGCTATCTCCTGTCCAGATAAGGTGAGGTTTCCCTGCGTCCCAAGCCTAGTGGCTGTGTCCTTTGGCTCCCTGGAGCCAGCACCAGGCATAGGGTGCTGGCTTTTCTTTTCTTTCTGTTTTTTTTTGTTTTCAAGACAGGGTCTCGCTCTGTCATGCAGGTTGGAGTGCAGTGGCGTGATCTCTGCTCACTGCAGCTTCCAGGTCCCAGTTTCAAGCAATTCTCCCACCTCAGCCTCCCCAGTAGCTGGGATTACAGGCGTGTGCCACCATGCCCAGCTAATTTTAATATTTTTAGTAGAGACGCGGTTTCACCATGTTGGCCAGGCTGATCTCAAACTCCCAACCTCAGGTGATCCACCCACCTCACCCTCCCAAGGTGCTGGGATTACAGTCGTGAGCCACTGCGCCTGGCCTCTTTTTTTTTTTTTTCTTTTTTGAGATAGGGTCTTGCTCTGTTGCCCGGGCTGGAGTGCAGAGGCACAATCATGGCTCACTGCAGCCTCAACCTTCCAGGCTCAAGCAATCCTCCCGCCTCAGCTTCCCAAGTAGCTGGGACTACAGGTGTGTGCCACCACGCCTACTAATTTAATTTAATTGTTTTCATTTCTTAGAGATGGGGTCTGACTGTGTTGTCCAGGCTGGTCTTGAACTCCTGGGCTTAAGCCATCCTCCTGCCTCAGCCTCCCAAAGTGTTGGGATTATAGGCATGAACCACTAAGCCTGGCTGATGGGTACCTCTTAAACCAAGGTCTCATCCAGGCGTGGTGGCTCACACCTGTAATCCCACCACTTTGGGAGGCTGAGGCAGGCGGATCACGAGGTCAGAAGTTCGAGATCAGCCTGACCAACATGGTGAAATCCCATCTCTATTAAAAATACAAAAATTAGCCAGGCCTGGTTGCACACGCCTGTAATCTTAGCTACTCAGGAGGCTGAGGCAGGAGAATCGCTTGAAGCAGAGGTTTCAGTGAGCCGAGATTGTGCCATTGCACTCCAGCCTGGTTGACAGACGGAGATTCCGTCTCAAAAAACAAAACAAAACAAAACAAAACAAAAACAGTCTCACGGCCTCCTTGTGCCCTGTGAGCTGAGCCGTGATAATGGGGGCATGAGAGGCCTAAAGGAGGAAGGATGAAACAAACTCAGGGGCAACAGGACACATACGTCAGTGTCCCTAGACAAGGCAGTGCATGCTTCAAGTCCTTGGGGCCCTTCTGAATACCAGTGACCAAGGTAAAGTGTGTGTGATAACTGATTACTCTGAAAAAGCACTTGATAAACTTCTGAGTACAGTGTACATGTTAGCATCACACCAGGCTGTCTGTCTCTGCGCCAGGCCCTTACAGCCTGAACTTTTCATTCATGAACGTAGCATGGTCTGAAACTTCCGTTGCTCACTATTTTAGAAGAGATTCTTGAAGGATTTGAGCAGGCGGCATCCTTCCCACTAACTGACCCAGCTGCTTCAGTGTCTCAGCCTCCTGAGCTTCCACTGAAGCGTCTCTAAGCCCCAAGATCCTTTGCTCAGTTTTGTTTTGTTTTGTTTCCGAGATGGAATCTGGCTGTGTCGCCCAGGCTGGAGTGCAGTGGCACAGTATCAGCTCACTGCAACCTCCGCCTCCCAGGCTCAAACGATTCTCCTGCCTCAGCCTCCCGAGTAGCTGGGACTACAGGCGCCCGCCACCACACCCAGCTAATTTTTGTGTTTTTTAGTAGAGATGGGGTTTCACTATGTTGGCCAGGCTGGTCTTGAACTCCTGACCTCAGGTGATCCTCCCACCTCAGCCTCCCAAAGTGTTGGGACTACAGGCGTGAGCCCCCACGCCTGGCCCCTTGTCTCAGTTTTGGAACCCAATTTTTTTTTCCACAGAAAGTGCTTGTGTTCCTCCGTCTCTGGTGCAGCAAATCCCAGTCGTTTCCTGCCCAGTAAATACCTAACCATGGCCACGTGGCTTCTCAGTACCCTTCCCTCAAGTGACCCACTTCAGATCCCCGAGTGCCAGGGTGGGACTCCCTCAGGACTCTGACCGGGCACCAGGGGCACCCCTCAGGCTATTGGTGGGGCACTTGCAGGTCAGAGTCTCAGTCTCCTCATCTTCCCTGACAGCTCTCCCTCTTCCTGGAAAGCCTTGCTCCCTCCATCCTGCCCTTCCCAAAGGGCAAGTCTAATCATGTCATTCCAGTCCTCAAGAGGAAGTCCAGGCTCTTAACTTGGCTTTCTGTGCCCCTTAGCATCTAGGCCCTCCTCTCCTCTCCACTTCCATCCCCTCTTATCTGGCCAGTTCCTACTTATTCTCACCGACCCAGGCCAGACATCTCCCCTTCTAGGAAGCCCTCCCTGATTGAACACCTGCCAGCCCCAGTCTGTTTCTTTATCTGCCTCCCTGCTGGGCTGTGTATTTCCAACATGGCCCTGAGTTGGTGCTCAGCTGTTAGCACATGACACAGTGTCACTGAACACATGTCACCCCACCTTCAGGAGACCCTTCCTGTCCTGTGGCCATGGGTTTTGCAGGAAGCACCTCTTGGAACAGAGGGGAGCCCCAAGCTGCCTTGGGTGTGAGAGGTCTGGGGTGACGGCTCCCATCGCTGCTGGCTGGTGTGTCCCTCCTCGGGCAGGGAGGGCCCTGCCACACCCTGCACTTCCTCTCATTGTGCCTCCCTTCCTGTTTAGCTAGACTGTTAGGCTGGAGGGATTTTTCCTCCCTTTCAGGACCTGAATGGAGCTATTTCTCCTTGCATCTCTGCCAACATCTCCCAGGACCCACCTCTGATCCACTGGTGGGCTCAGGCATCAACAGCTTTGGGTTCCAATCCCAGCTGTCCCCATTCAGCTGGGTGGTGAGAAGCCAGGGTCTGACCTCTGTGGACCTCAGTTTCCTTGTAAAAAGAAAAGTAACAAGGTGGCTCATGTGTTTTTGCGTGGGATTATGAGGGTTTAATGAGCTAAGAAGGTCTGTGCTTCTGAAGTGTGAGCCGTGGCCGTGTCACCCTTGTCCCTGACCCGCTGATGTGGGGGTTCTGCAGAGAGCCCAGCTGGGTACTCACTGGATGCCTGCAAGTCCAAACATCCTGTTCTTTTTGAACTCCTTACTGGAGAAACAGGGAAAAGCTGTAGTTTTTTCCTTCCACTCGTATCAAGTGACACAAAAAAACAAGCCTGTCGGGGCCGAGCTGCTTGACTCTCTGATGTTTGGGAGCAGATCTGAGCAGCTGAGCAGGGTGGCTGTTCCTTTCTTGGATTAGGGTTGAATCTGTGGGAACCAGACCACCCCTGAGACAGGAGGCAGCCCTGATGCCTCCCCAGGGCCTGGGCCTGCAGCAGAGCCCCTTCCTCCAAGGGAAGCGGGACCTGGGGCTCACGTCTTCCCCGCCCCTCCTGCCTCCTTCCCTACAGGTGAACTTCCACAGCCCCCGGAGTGGCCAGAGGTGCTGGGCTGCGCGGACCCAGGTGGAGAAGCGGCTGGTGGTACTGGTGGCACTTCTGGCGGCAGGACTGGTGGCCTGCCTGGCAGCGCTGGGCATCCAGTACCAGACAAGTAGGTGCCTCCGTGTTGCATGGTGGGCTCGACTCACTCCTGTCCCTGGCTCTGTCAGCTTGGGGAAGGGGGGCTTCCCGGCTTAAGCCGGGGCAGGCCTCTAAGGCCAAGGAGGGAGCCAGGCCCAGGGGGATCTGGGTGCTGAGATGGACCAAGACCTGGGAAGTGGGCAGCGTGGGTGGTATACAGATCTCGCACTTGAGTCCACATCCTGTCCCAGCAACTTACTGGCTGTGTGACCTTGGACAAACCTCTTACTCTCTCAGCCTGTGTCTTCTCTAATTTAAATGGGAAAACAGTGCCCAGTTGGGGGATGGCTCTGCGGACTAGAGATAACATATGTCACATAGCTGGTGCCTCGTGTTGTTGCTAGGATGTGGGGTAATTACACACATAGGCTGACATTGTCTGCTATCTCTAGTTCCAATAAAATAACAATAATGCCCTCTGTTTACTAAATTCTTTCCTCCGACCAAATACCCCAAATACCCCACTCGCTTCAGATGCAATCTCATTTCCTCCTCAGGGCAGCCCTGTGAGGTGTGGTTACTTTTGGCCCCTTTTCCATATTAGGAAACTGAGGCACTCAGATGGAGTGACTTGCCCAAGGTTACGTGGCTAATGGGGGATCGAGTGGGGCCCTTGAATGCGGAGGTTGGAATTCACCCACAGGCTACTGGGCTCAAGCCCAGGCTCCACCTCCCTTTGTAATCCAAGTATGCTCCAGAGCACATTAGCACCCCCAGGAGAGCTACCCTTCCGGGATCCAGCTGCCTGTCGTGTTCCTTGGTCGGTGCTTTTGTCTGTCCCATTTTGAATGGTGATACAGTTGGGCCCCTCTGCCAGGTGCCTCACACAGAGTTAATGCTCAGTAAACACTTACGAAGTGGGAAAGGGTGGATCCAAGTTAGAAATAAGGATGGGGAGTTAGCCAATGCCAGGACCTCTCAGTCCCCTGTTGCCCCAACATTTATTCTTCTGATGGCAGATGGTTCACCTGGTTGAGCAGCCTCTGGGGGCTCTGCTCAGCATCCCACCCACTGACTCAGTCTCTCACCCCATGAGAGAAACTATGAGCTTTCTCGGGATCTGGGAACGTCCACTCCAGGCTGTGTGGAGCCTTCCGTCTGTGAAGTTGCTGGCCTGCGAGGGTGGCCACGCTGCACCGGGGTGGGGAGGGGACTCGGGGCCTAGAAAAGAGCAGGGACTTCATCTGAGCGTTCTTCCATCCCTCCTGGGTTAGGCACAAAGGTATCCATTCACTCCACAAACATAGGTTGTACTTAAGAAATAATTGCTTGATTAGTTAACTGACTGTCTAATGGTTTATGGTGTTTTACGAAATGTGCCTGGCTCAGCAGGTGCTTAATGCATGTGTGACTAACTAATGACTAGCTTTCAGGCCTTTAGCCCGATGTGTTTAGCATAGTGCCTATGCCACAGGTGTGCAGACAGTAAAATGAATAAATTAATGTTTGAATGAACAAAAGGGTAAGAAGGAAGATCAAGCTGAGAACAGCCTTTCTCTGCTGAGTGTGTGTATATTGTGTGATTCTGTCCTGGTGCATGTTTGTGTGTGTGCGTGTCTCCTCTACTCACAGGACACAAGCTCGTCATTGTCTCCTGCCACTGCCATGTCGTTTCATCCTGAATCCACTCTAGTTCAGAACCCCCTGCTGGTCAGTGTGGCCCCTGGCCAGCGCGTCTGCACAGCTCTTGGCTTGGAGCAGCGGGAGCTGGCCAGACTCCGGCAGCCAGTGTTGCCCTGAGACTGCCCCTCGGAGCTCCCAAGATATGTCTTTGCCAGAAACCAGGAGGGAGTCCCCACGGCCCAGCTCCTGATGATCAGACCCAAAACATTTCTGTTGTTACTGCCCAGTGGGGTCCTTTGGGAGGAATCCTGCTTCTGCCTCTGTTGTGTCCCTCTCTGGATCTCAGAAGGGTTTTCTCCAGCCTGGACCTGGGAGAGGAACATTCTTCCCCTGGAATGGAGCTGGGCAGAGGATCAGGTGACCCTTGAGCCACCTGGGAAAGCAGTGGCCACCGCAGATATTAACAGTAACCTCATTACCCAGGTGCTGGTGCTGGCCACATCTGAGCAAACACCAAGCCAGTCAAAGCAAATCTGTCCAGGCACAGTGGCTCTCACGCCTGTAATCCCAGCACTTTGGGAGGCCAAGGTGGACGGATCACCTGAGGTCAAGATGTTCGCCGAGCATGACCAACATGGTGAAATCCCGCCTCTACTAAAAAATACAAAAATTAACCATGCATGTCGGCGCACACCTGTAGTCCAGCTGCTCTGGTGGCTGTCGTTGGTGCACGCCTGTAGTCCCAGCTACTCGAGAGGCTGAGGCAGGAGAATCGCTTGAACCTGGGAGGCGGAGGTTGCAGTGAGCCAGGATGGCACCACTGCACTCCAGCCTGGGCAACAGAGCAAGAGTCTGTCTCAAAAAAAAAAAAAGCAAATCTTCTGATGATTCTGAAGGCCAGCCTCTGGGAATGTCTGAGCACATATTTACATTTTTTACTTACCTTCCTGCTATGCTTCCTTTCCAGAAACATTGGTGCTTTGCAAACAGAGGCAACAAAACAAACAATACATTCTCCAAGAACATATATATATATATATATATATATATATATATATATATAATTTTTTTGTTTGTTTTTTTTTGTTTTTGTTTTTTTTTAGACGGAGTGAGCCACCGCGACCGGCTCCAAGAACGTATTTTTAAGAAAGCATTCTACACAGTTTTGAGGCTAGGCTCTGTCCAGATGAATGTCTGTAAATTAAATCTAAGATCTGTTTCTGCCTTCTCAATTGATCATGCGTGTCCCAAAGGAAAGACGTTTGCTGCCTCTGCAGGTGGTGAACAAGTGCTGAATAAGGCCTTTCATTCATTTGGTTATTCATTCAAAAACACATATTGAGGCCAGGCACAGTGGCTCACTCCTATAATCCTAGCCCTTTGGGAGGCCGAGGCGGGTGGATCAACTGACGTCAAGAGTTCAAGACCAGCCTGGCCAACGTGGTGAAACCTTGTGTCTACTAAAAATACAAAAAATTAGCCAGGCGTGGTGGTGGACGCTTGTAATCCCAGCTACTCAGGAGGCTGAGGCAAGAGAATTGCTTGAGCCCAGGAGGCAGAGGTTGCAGTGAGTCAAGATTGTGCCACTGCATTCCAGCCTGGGCGACAGATCAAAAACTCTGTCTCAAAAGAAAAAAAAAAAAGCACGTATTAAACGGCTGCTAGTTGCCAAATACAATGCTAGGCAATGGAAATATAAAAACACGTAGGATACTGGCCTGCCCTGAAGTTCACATTCTAGTAGGACAGGTGGACAAGGAGATGGCCATGACATAGCACAGTAGCACAGCAGGCACCCAGGCCGCTGAGGGACCCAGAGAGAGAAGGGGGTCAAGTCATCAAAATGCATGAAGCACCTCCTGGGCCAGGAATATTTCATGAACTTTCTGCAAACCATTGAATAGTTGAATAATCAAGCCATTCCTCCTTAAGCACCTCCTTGGTCCCTAGCCCAGTGTCCAACAAAATAGACACTTAGTGAAGAACTCAAACCTCTTTTAAGACTGCTTTTTTTTTGAGACAGAGTCTCTTGTCACCCAGGCTGGAGTGCAGTGGCACAGTCTCGACTCACTGCAACCTCCGCCTCCCGGGTTCAAAAGATTCTCCTGCCTCAGCCTCCCAAGTAGCTGGGATTACAGGTGCCCACCATCACGCCTGACTAATTTTTGTATTTTTAGTGGTGATGGGGTTTCACCACGTTGGCCAGGCTGGTCTCGAACTCCTGACCTCAGGTAATCCGCCCGCCTCAGCCTCCCAAAGTGCTGGGATTACAGGCATGAGCCACGGAGCCCAGTCTCTGAGACTGACTTCTGGGACTAGTTTCTTGTTTTGTTTTTAAACCCAAGTCCCCATATGATAACAGCAAAAACCTTAATCAGTTAATTAATCGGTCTCTCTCTCTCACGCACGCAGACACATTCACACAGATGCTGATGCGTCTTCCCGCATTAGGCTCACTCTCAGCCGTCTCCTGGGCATCTCCACCAGCCAAGATATTGTAAAATTTTCCTTCCTGTGGTTTGATGTATGAAAACAAAAGGTATTCTTTTCCTTCTCTAAGTGTGGAGTTATATCGTAATACTCAGCAGGCTCTTTCAACCTACATAGAAATTCTCTCCCTGCCCCATAAAGATTTTGGTGCTTCCCTGGAGTTTGAAGTGGAGCATTCAACTGTGATTAAGATGATTTGATTTAAAGATACTTAAAATGGCACTATCACCCCCACCATTTCCTTTCTCTGTTTTCGTGCGTAATGGCTCCATAATTTTTTTATGACACACCTCTCAACTGTGAACAATAATTTTTAATTGTTGTGTGATTATCTCAAAGTCAAATCACCCTGATTTTCCTGCTGTTGTGTGGCTGCTCTGAGCCCTTTGTCAGCCACCCATCTGAAGGACTTTGTGTTTGTCATCAGATGTTGATAAGCCCACAAGTGAACCTCTGCCCACTGGCCTTACGTTCCTGAGTGAGTTGAACACTGCCCCTACTAGCCCGTGCGTTCTTTGCTGCTCTCTAAAGACTGGCCTGAAACTTCAGACCCTGAGACTTGAGGAAGCTGAAACCCCGTGCCCAGCCATGGCCATCATCACTGTGAAATCTGTGAAATTGGTCCTGCATTTCTTCCTAACTTTTAGATAGAGAAACTGAGGCATGGAGAGATGAGGTCACTTGCCCAAAGCCTCACTGGCAAAAGTAGAAAGCTGGATTTGAACCCAGGTCTGGTGGCCTCCAAAGCCCACCCTGCCTTACTGCCTCCCTCTGTGGTGGGGAAACAGATCTCAGCAGTCAGGCTGCACCAGCCCCTGGTGTGACTGGCAAAGAGGTGGGGAAGGAAAGCAGAAAAACACAGCCTTGGCATGGCTGGACTGAGACAGGCCTGGGCCCAGCTCTCAGCTCTCCTCCCTCCCGCATAGCTGGGCAACCTTGTTCCATTCACTCCCTCAGTTTCCTCTTCTTTAACCAGGGAGACGATGCCTGCAGCTGATGGCTTGTAATGAGTTAAATGAGATCCTGAGTGTGTGCAAAGTGCCCAGTGCATGGCCACATTCAGTAAAGTCCCTTTGGTCATCAGCACAGCCTGGGTGGATGGATGATGGGACTGGGCCTGTGATTCTCGGTCCTGCACAGTCAGCTTTGTGTTGCTGCCTCAGGCCAGGCCTCTGCGCAGGCCACCCAGGCTTTGGGTCCTTTGGGAGACCTCAGCCGCCAACATTGAGGTTGGGCTCTGGCCCTTTCCTCTTGCCTCTGGCAAACCAGTCTCTCAGGGTTGTTTAGCCTTTGGGTTTTTGAGGATTCCTTGAAGTCACGCACTTTCCTACTTGTATGCACTCTCCTGCTTGTACGCAGGAGTGATTTTTCCTGTTTCCTCCTTCTATTCCTAATAGGCTTTCCTCCTGCTTATGTCCTGTCATCCATACTGTCTACATCACCCTTTTGGCACATAGTAAATGTTCAGTTTATTTTTGCAGAAAGGAGGACAGACGTTTCTCCTACTGTTCCCTTTTGATTTATGTGTATATCCCCAACTGAATTGTTAGCTCTTGGATTAAAGGACTCTGCCTTTTTATGCCCAGTACCCCAGTACTCTACACACACACACACGGGCATGGGCGCACACTTTCATGCAGGAGAACGCACACACGCACACACATGCACTCTAGACACAGCAAAGAACCTGGAAGGTAGTCATTATCTTGCTGAATAAATGAATGCATGCATGAATGAATAAATTTGTTGAGCATCAAGGAATAATAAAGAGTCAATGAATATTTATGGAGGAAAAGGTTGATTAAGAGAAACACCTGGGTTCTGGGTACCTTTTAGCCGTAAGAAGGATTTTAGACAGCTGAATAGAAGTCTTGTGTTATAAGCCAGCAAATTTTAAATGGGCGGAAATCATTTCTCTGTAGGGCTCAAGTGACCGTTCAGTTCCAAATCTGTGTGGTCAGGGCTGGGGTGGGACATGTGACCACTGGGCCCCAAGCCGCCTTCTCTGCCTTCCCTGCTTCTTCTCTGCCCTCCGTGCTTCTTCTCTGCTTGCCCTTCACTGGCCTCTTGTCCTTGACCCCTTGCAGGATCTCCTTCTGTGTGCCTGAGCGAAGCTTGTGTCTCAGTGACCAGCTCCATCTTGAGCTCCATGGACCCCACAGTGGACCCCTGCCATGACTTCTTCAGCTATGCCTGTGGGGGCTGGATCAAAGCCAACCCGGTCCCTGATGGCCACTCACGCTGGGGGACCTTCAGCAACCTCTGGGAACACAACCAGGCGATCATCAAGCACCTCCTCGGTAAGCATCTAGCATGGAGACCAATGAATGGGCCACAGCAGGGAGCTGTCAGCTGGTCCAGCCGGCTTCCCAACCACACCTGCTTAAAGGAGGAGCTTGGCAGAATGGGCCGTGTGCGGTGGCTCACACCTATAATCCCAGCACTTCGAGAGGCCGGGGTGGGTGGATCACTTGAGACCTGGAGTTCCAGACCAGCCTGGCCAACATGGCAAAACCCTGTCTCTACTAAAAATACAAAAATTAGCTAGGTATGGTGGCGTGCGCCTGTAGTACTTGGGAGGCTGAGGCAGAAGAATTGCTTGAAACTGGGAGGCAGAGGTTGCAGTGAGCCGAGACCACGCCACTGCACTCCAACCTGGGCAACAGAGTGAGATTCTGTCTAAAAAATAAGAAAAGAGGCGCCTGGCAGAATGGAAGACCATAGACTTGGGAGTAGGTGAATCTGGGTTAGAATATCTGCTCTCATTCATTGTATGATCCTAAGTCATGTATCTCTGAACCTCAGTTTCTTCATCTGTAAAATGAGACTAGTAAGATCCAAGCTACAGAGTTTTGAGAACTAGAGCTCTCATGTGTGAAGCATTAGCATGGTGTGTGTGGCACGTAGGGTGTACACAAGAACTGGTGGCTGTGTTCGTTACTTTTGTGGCTTCAAGCTTGTCATAGCTTTTGACTAGTATTGACTGCGAGTTTTGAAAGTTGTGAGCAAAAGGGATCGGGACTGAACACACTAGATCAGATTCTAAGGTTGTGATCCAATGAAAGTTCTAACAACAGCTCATCAGAGAGTTAGTTATTCAGTGTAGGCGGGAATCATCCTTAGCCTCATAGTGATCGGGCTTGCATGGTAAGCCATCTGGTCAAAGTTCTCTTTGCACTTCACTAGGCCTTGGGCACCTCTAGTTCACCCCGAGTTGATGGTTTTATCCTCAGATTAGAGCTCCACGTTGCCTTGTTTGCAGCTGTATCCTTAGTTAATGTTTGTTGAATTCCCGGCTGCCCACTGGGCTCCTCCTCTGGTGTGAAATCACGACAGCCGTGCTGTATCACAAAGCTGCTCACCTGAACCCCTCCACAGCTGGGACCATGGCTGTCTCCCTCTTCTGCTGTCCCCTGCTCCGTCCTGGGACCCTAAATGCTGGGAGAGGCTGGATTCTGAAAAGCCAGTCAATTTAGCCATCAACAAGAGAACCTGGATCACACAAATACTTACTGTTTTAAAAATCTTTAAGCTATTCAAAGGTAGATAGGTGCAATAGAAGATACCCAAAAGGGGACAGATCTTCTTAAAGGGACAGAAATCTTAAGAGACAGGAAATAATTCTAAATGGACATTTATCAATTTAAGGTAACTGAGTCTTTTAGATTACAAGGAAAGTAGGCAAACCGGGTGAAGGAGACCTTTTCTTTCTTTCCTGCCCTAGCCCCACAGGGCAGAGCTGCAGTAGGTAAAACACACGCACCCTTTCTCCTGGCCTCCCGCAGCTCCCCAGGCAGCAGCAGCAGCAGCCACCTCCCACCTAACTCCCCGAGGATGAGCAGGGTGGTGCGTATGGATCTGGGGTTGAAGCTCAGTGTGTCTGAAGCAGCAAAGCGCCAGCCTGAGATGTCCCCCTGCCTGCTTTATGCCACCAAAGTGCCTTCGAAAGGGGATGTAACTTTTCATTTTAGAACCAGATGTTTAAAAGGCAAATATGGGCCGGGCGCGGTGGCTCAAGCCTGTAATCCCAGCACTTTGGGAGGCCGAGACGGGTGGATCATGAGGTCAGGAGATCGAGACCAACCTGGTGAACATGGTGAAACCCCGTCTCTACTAAAAAATACAAAAAACTAGCCGGGCGAGGTGGCAGCGCCTGTAGTCCCAGCTACTCAGGAGGCTGAGGCAGGAGAATGGCGTGAACCCGGGAGGCGGAGCTTGCAGTGAGCTGAGATCCGGCCACTGCAACTCCAGCCCCGGAGACAGAGCGAGACTCCGTCTCAAAAAAAAAAAAAAAAAAGGCAAATATGTCTGTCATTACAAGACTGGAACTCAAGGACGTCCCTTGTCCAGTGCCTAACATCACAGCAGGGGGCTTGGCAGGGCCCCTAGTCCAGGTAGTATAACAAGGTGGGTCAGTTCCTCTGCTTCAGAGTCACCAGGACCTGGGTTCAAATCCGGACTCTGCCACTTACTATGAGGTCTTGGGTCAATTACATCACCTCCCTGGCTTGTTTTCTCATTAGTACAGTGGGAACCATGCCTCCTCTGAATTTTGAAAATTAAATGGGAAATACATTTAAATGTATTTAAACCACGCCGAGGCCTGGCATGTCGTGGTGGCTGCTGTTTGTATTGATGTAACTGTTATTATTCATCCTTGACCTTTGCACAGCATTTGACTGGTTACAGAGATGCCATCCCATTTGATCTTGCAGAGTGGAATCTGGGAAGGTGGTGTTCACTCCATTGGTAGATGAGGAAAGCGAGATCTGGAGAGGTCCTCATGATAGGCTAGTGAGTGGCAGAGCTGAGACCTGTCTGATGCCTTGTGTGCCCTTTCCCCTGTCCCACACCACCTCCTTCAGGTACAAGGGACAGACATAGCTCCCTTTCCGCAGCGCCTGCAAGAACCTGCAGGGAGCGCAGAGCCTGAGGGCCTGAAGGAAGGAGAGACGCGGATGTCCGCCGTGTGCTGTGCACTGTTCCAGGCTCTTTACAGCCACTGCCTCCTTAATCCTCACAACCCCAGACTTCAGAATTGTTGTTCCCATTTTGTAGATGCAGAAACTGAGGCTCCCAGAAGTTAAGTGACTTTGTCAAGGACATACCACCAGTCCAAAATGGTGAGGGGCTCATTCTCTGGGGAGCATTTAGCATTTAGAGGGGATGGGGCAGGACAGCGGTCAGGCCCTCTAGCTTCCCAGTGAGGCCCAGAACGGGCTCTTGTGCATCTTAGGGGTTCTGATCTGACTGGTTCTGGGGCTGGTTCTCACTGGGAGAACCTTAGGTCTGGGCCAAGATTGAGTCCATCCCCACCATTCCTGAGGATTAAGCCGTGGGTGGGGAGCTGCATCAAATGGGCCATGGAACAACCCAGAATCATGCGTTCAACCCTGACCCCGAGTCCAGGGTCCAGTGATACCAGGAGGCCAGACCGCAGAGTTTTGAAGTCAAGCAGCCCTGGTGTGCTAGCTGCTTATCACCCGTGTGGCCTTGGACAAGTGGCCTGGCTTCCCTCCCACTTGGTTTGATTATCTGTGCGATCGGGATAATGTTGCCTCCTCACACGTGCATTTACTGTGAGTGTTGACTTGCCTGGGATGATTCAAAGTGCTCAGCACCGGAATACACTGGAATACTAGCCTGGCACCTAGTAGGTGCTCAGCAAAGCACAGCTGCCCTCCTTGGTGGTGTTAGATGAGTTCCAACCAAGACTTCTTACAAACAAGCTGTATGACTGCAGAGAGGTCACCCAGATTTTTAGGTCCTCGGCTCATCACCTATAAAGTGGGAACTAACTGAAACTCAGATCATTAGTAGGGATGCTCTAAGGGTTAATGGGATGGGCAAAGAACAGAGTCATTATAACTTATTTATTAGAGAAGCACTGGTGTGTAGACCCAGTTATCAGGAAGGAGGTGCAGGAAGCTGTGTTATCAGGAAGCTGTGACACACTGAGTATCTCACTTGTATTGTTTCATTGAACTCTCATAGTAAACTCATGGAGTAGGCTATATTTGCCCATTTTACAGATGAGACTCATGAATATGAAGGAAATGTATTTCCTAGGAAATGGTGAGGCTGGGATTAGACCCAGACTTGTGGGGCCTCAAAGCTTGTATTCTTTCTGTACTCACTCCACTGTCAGATTCAGCGGGGAGAGGCCCTGGGTCGGCACTGCTGGCGGGGAGAGCAGCCAAGAAGTGTGGTTTGCCTGCCTCCTTTCCCCAGAGGCTGCTTCACTGAGCTCTCAGCCCAGGCCAGCCAAGCCCCAGCCCAGGTCCAATGAACACAGGAGCTGGGGTCACCCCCATGTCATATTGACTAGGGGCTTCCCCAGAAGGCATATCCTGGGGTCCCCTCCCCAAAGGCTCACTCCTCGGAACTAGTCTGGAAACGGCCCCTCAACTTTGGGCTTGATACCTGGGGATTTTGATACATGGAAACTCCTGAAAAGGCAGATGGCAGGTGAGTGGGTGGCAAAAAAATGCAGGAGTGTGGGCCAGTGCATTCTTGGGCTTAAGGCCAGGCTGGGTTCAGCCTCTCCAAGACAAAGGGGTCAGCCAGCAGGCCTCGGAAAGAAGCCAGAGCTGATGGGCATGGGAACAAGCCGGAGGTGCCCAGGCCACTCCGACCTGCTGAGGGGAGGGCTTCCCTCTAGGCAGAGAGGGGAGAAGGGACATTTAGAGTGCCAGTGTGGATTGTGTCAGCCGGTCCGGCAGGATAGCTGTTACCATCTGCTTGTGTGACCTTGGGCAAGCCATGCATTTCTCTGCCAGGTGAATTCATGCTAGCTGCCTCAGAGGCAATCCAGGCAGATCTGTAGCAGGTGGGCCGAACTAGGCCAGGTGCCACCTTGGCATGACCTGGCAGTCTGCCAGCTGGGGATGGTGACCTCAGCTGCAGGACACACAGATGCGTCGCACTTCACTCTGCCGCTCCCCAAAGTGGCCAGCATGGGCTGTCCTCCTAGGTTTTGGGGAAATGAGAGTGGTGGCCTCACCTCATCAGAGGATGGAAACAGCCAGCCCCTTCAGCCCTTAGACTTGGCTCTGCCTTGGGCTTTCCAACTGTGCTTGTGGCTCGGATTATTCCACCAGCTACAGTGCCTACACCACCCCCTCCAAAGCCTCCAAGACTTTTCTCAAACCTGCTGCCCCCATTGTCTTCTGTGGCTACCAAACGGCCTTTCTAGGCTTGAGCTACAATTACACTGTGTGCACCTGTCGTGTTTGCTTTACTGTATTTTATACTGTAAGATGAATGCATACAAAAAAAATCAATGCATGCTCATTGTGAC